GCGAATATAAGAAGGACAACGCAAATTCAGATTTTCGGAGGAATACTCGAATAAGGGACCTTTCGCGCATTTGTATACGACATACATTGTCTGTATTGAATTCCGGCCCTGCGGCCACAGCAAGTAGCAATCAAATATTTCTTCAGCTTAAACAGGTATGGCACATCCGATTGGCACGAGGGGCCAGCTCACGCAATGCCAGCCGTTTTTTTTTCGAGTCGCTAGCTATAGAGGTTTGAACTAAAGCTCATTGCGCTATTTGCTCTTAACCGGAAAGATGCGTCTCGACTTTCTATTTCTTCTAATCTCTGCGTCCGCTGACCATGCGCTGTCGATCCGATCGTCCATGGGCCTAGTTGATCCAAGCGCCGTCACTCTCTCGTCTTCGGATTTCAACACTGAAAAAAGAGTCGCTCGTCAACTTCATCTACGTGAGGTCAAGGAGAACGAGGCCAGAGGTCTCCCCCAAGAACTAGAGTCAATGGTTCGTGTTGCTGTGAACAGCATAATTTCTGAAGAAGATTTCAAGTTTCTCTGCAAACATTTCGAGGATGAACGTCCTCTTGCCATTCTTCTGGACAAACACGGGGCGTCTATGAAGGTAGCTGATCAGTACCGTGATATGTTGGAGAGCCTTGTCCGCCCCGTAGCTTACGATCCACAAGCTAGCCTCTAAGTCATCCGTGGCGTCTGCATCAGTCTGTCATACTTGCAGCAGCTAATCAGCATCAATAACAATATCAGCTGGGTTTTAACCTTTCTCGCGCCTTTTCTTTCCATTCACTAGCCGTCCAAATTGTTCGTGGTGGTAGCGCAGTATAAAACCAGACATCCTTACAAGTATTCATGTGATTTGGTTGTGTTTCCCTGGTCAAAGATTTAGGGGAAACGTTGAACGTACCGGTCGTGAGTGCGTCATGGTGCCGGCGATTGTGTGGGCCATTAAAAACTACTTTTCCATCAATATCTGTTTTTACCCAGTCTAAATCTGATGAGACCATTCTAATTCTCAATATTTCGTCTAATTCAAATGTTTAATCGTATTTGCTTTTATGTAGGTCGCTGGAATGCGGCCAGATGCTAAAGCTGAGATAATAAAAGAAACGCAGAGAAGTGTGGTTGGACACATTCGAAAATCTCTTGTATATTTAGCTCTTTATGTGCAGTACTATTATTACGGTGCACACAGCATTTGTCAAAGGCGTATTAATGCATTTTCATGAATGTTTATGTGTGTCGTTTTGCTTTCTATTCAAGCTAACGTCTGTCATTGTCCACACACACCAAAGAATCGTCTGTAAATGCCTATTATGTTGCATACCTCAACCTTGATTGCCTTACATCTGGCTGCTTTGACGGATTTGGGTCGTCGTTGTTGTCGTGGTCACTGTGAGTGACATTTTCTCTGACGAAATTATTGTCGACCGAATCATTCGTAATCCGTGCTGTAATGAACGTATTGTACGAATTTTTCAAACAGGTCTATCAATTATACTGTAAAGACTGCATTCACCATAATTGTAACGGGGTAGCCCGTTACATGATGTTGACAGCAAATGGTGTCAATAGGGAGATTGCCTAGCGTGCCAGTTCCATGCAAAATTACTCAAAATAAATGATATTGAAGGAAAATTATCTCCGGAGTATAATATCCATGCGCTGATCAAGATTGGTTAATACAAGACATATCAACCAAAGGTACAACTGATCGCCGCCAGAAGCGCGTACTGAGTGGTGAGCAGGTTGCCGTCAGACGACAATGTAAGTTAATATAGTTGGATAAAGACCGGAGTTATATGGATAGTTTAACTATATCAGATACAGTTCTCTTTTTACCCTCTACTCAAACTAGCAGTTTGAGTAGATCGGTTTCCTCTGCACGTACGAGTGTACGCGAAGTTTCTTAGCACCCCAAATAAAAGGTCCTTGTTAGGACTTGTGTAGTCATTTCTACCTAAACCATAAATGATAGTTGAATGGCATGGATGTGTACGCATGAAACAAGTGTATTGTGCCTTTCGCGAGAAGTACTGGCTTATAAACTCCACTCTGTTTTGTTTTTGTTGACGTATGTTTTATCTCTGTGCTATCTCAACATTCACGTTGTGGCTCATTGCTTTCCTGTAACCGCCTTACAGCAAATTCGATTGAGATAGGGAAGCGCTCTGGACTCATCCCTGATATAATTAATTCAGTTTACAACACTGAATCAATTGCAAAACATTATATAGCAGCAGTGACTGAAGAACAATTGGATGCTGTTAATTTTTGTATTAACCCAGTACAGAATGTTAGGACAACGTGATCGGCCTGTGCTCTTGAGCGTCTAGCATGTGCTTGTGTGATCGTATTCACCTTCGATCAATTTTAAGCCAATCATGTACGTTCGCCACAATAGTGACCTAGCTAGAGAGTGACTTCTTTTATGCTAACTGACCTATGAGTGGGGACAGGCTATACCGGACTCAGGAAGAGTAAGGTACACACCACTGCGCTATTTACTGACATACGCACAGACAGATAGGTACAGTTTACAAATCCGGTATTCAAACTTGTGCACACTCACTGATAGCGTCAAGACTCGGGCTTGCATTAAATTCGAAGTAGCGTAGGTATCTCAAAATTATAATGGCGTCATTAGAAATGGACTGGGTACAATAGATTTTGATTGAAAATGTTTTTGATTAGCCAGAACAAATGTGTACACACCCAGTTGACATGTTTAAATCAATCGTTTGCCACAAATTCATAATGTAAATACATACAATTGTAAGTTGTATAATGATATATTTAGGTACGCGCCCACCCTTTAATACGTACACATTTATGGAAATGTCAAAAATATCAGTTGCCACAAGTTGTAACGTAATGCATAAAAATTTAAGTTAACTATTCTCTGTTAAACGAGCAAAGAATTTATGTAACGGGGCAACCTTTGTTTGGGGTACCACGAACTTCACGTACACTAGTACGTAAAGAGGAAGCTAATCTACTCAAATGGCTAGTTTGAGTAAAGGTAAAAATAGAACTGTATATAATACAGTGAAGCAATCAATATAACTTCAGTATTTATCTAACTATGTTAAACTACGTCGTCGTATGACGACAACCGGCTCATTGCGCACGTCTAGCAGCGATTGGTGGTAATCTATGGGTAATATGTCATATATCAAACAATCGTTGAGCAGCGCATGAATATAATCCTAGAAGGGAAACATACTCCTTCAATAAAATCCATCTAGGATCATATTGGTAGGGAATTGTCACGCTAGACAATATTTCTAGTGACACCGTTTGGTGTCAATATCATGCAACGGGCTACCCCGTCATGTAACCCCCCCTAAACCATTAATCACCCGTTAACTGAATAAGAATTAATAAAGACAGGGTGACCACCGGTCGATCACTCTCGGAAAGGGAGAACTTGCTGGTTAAATCCCGTTCATTTTTTTTACCAATCCAACGCATGGTTTCAAAATCCAAGCGAGTTGCTACTGTCGCAGCAAGAAAGGCAGCTGCACGCATTCGTGCAGCCGGAGAGAGCACTTCTCACACCTCAGCAGCAGGTGATTTGTCGCCTGCTGTTGTGAAAAAATCCACGTGGTGAGTCACCACGTGCAACAGGCTACATCCACTGCGTCTGCAGCGGGTGCCGCGAGTCGTAAATCTAGATGAGTCGGAAATAGAGCTCATCGATTCTGGCGAGTCGGATGATGCATCCGACTCGAAGGCGACACCTCACGCCTCCAGATCATCCGGGCGGATACTACAAGAGCTAGGTTGACTGGCTCTGGGGAACGTGGCGGCATCATGTCTGAGATTTTCGGATCGAGCGATTCTTCTGATGATAGGACGCGTGGTGATGGTAATGATGCACCTATACATCATCATGAGCGAAGTAACTCGAGGGATCAAGCTGTCACTGGTGTCAGTGCTCATGCTGACATAAATTAAGAGGCCAGGTACCAAAATTTTCTACGCCACGTTCCCATGAGGAGTCTCGTTGGATGCCGTTATCCAAAGAGTTGGACCGGTCGGCCGGCATGACTACCGATCGAGATCGAATCCCGTTGTTCGACTGTAAGAGGAAGTATCCTTCTAATTCCTGATTCCAGCAAGGAAACTATCCGTGCTGTGTAAGAATTTTTTACCGATGCATTTTCAAACATCGGTGGTACAAGGGGTAGTCGTGTTCGAGACGGTAAAGCCTTGGTGCAAGGATGGAATGCCCTTATCCATAGCATCGAGTTTATTGGTTATGAGGCCTGGCTCGGTAAACTTGATGCAGCTCGCATCAGGTTTAAGAAGCGCAACCCAGTCGGGGTGCAAAACAAGTTGCACCGGCTGTCAAGAGAGGCAGGATTACCCTGTCTCTCTTGGGGTGATTCGTGTCTAGGTTGCATGGACAACTCGAATCGTGTCTCTTGGGAGGCCTACCTCCATACTGTCCCTACTTAAGGACGCGTGTCTCTTCTGAGATGGACGAAGAGATTGACACTTTGCAATCCCAGTACTCACGTTCGGGGAGGTCTTTTTCCGACGGCCCTTCTTCGAATGCAGCGGGTTGGTCTCGTTAAATTAATCCACGAGACCCAGAACGTCAACAATCAGCTGGGCACGAGGCTCCCAGCTTCCCCAAGCCGGTGGATAGCCATTCCAGTGGACGAGATAATTCGTCCGGACGCCATTCACGTCGCGGTGGCTCAAAATACGTTCCACTAGGAAGCGTTGGCCACCGCTTGAGTCCACCAAAGGATGTGGTGGCGGCGGGAATACCTGATACGCCTCAAGGGTCGTATCAGCTTGATGTTCAGGAGCTGAACCGTGTAACGGAACAGTTGCAAGATGACCTGGATCATGAACGGACTCGGCGTCATGAGCTCCATGATCTTGTAAAGGATAATTACAATTACTTAGCACACGATCGTTCGGACGATCGTGCCACGTTTGCGTTTACGCAACTTGGGAATGAACGTTCGGTTCATTCTCTATGTGACGAGATGACTGCAGCTCGTCGAGACATCGCTCAACTGCGTGAGCAGGTCGCTTCGCTGGTCGACCAGACTGGCTCGTTGAAACGGGACCACTCGAAGGTGGTCTCGGCTTTCGACTGCATAGGTGTTCTTCGCATCTCGAAACGGGCTTGTACTGATAGTACGGGCGGAGACGACCAAAGTAAAACGTAGGATGCGTACGCATCTTACGGGGCAGTTCAATCGTGTATGCGTTGTCCATTCGGCGCAACACACGAAATGGACCGTTTTACTTGGGCAGTAATTTACTGCTGCCCACGTTTGTCACCGCGTGTTTCGGTAAGTTTACTTTAGACAGAAAAACTAGGTCTCCTTCATCAAATGAAAGAACATTTGCTCTTTCATGTTTGCCCGAATTTCTTTCCTGTCATTCTAGTGCATCTGCAATAGAGTCTTGAACGAAGAGGACAACCGCATCGCGAGTCAGCAGAAATTCCTCTGCTAATTTATCCTTGTCAACAGCAGTGCGCTTCGTGTGCAATGCTGGAAGAACGCTGTCTTAACCAGTGAAAGCGTCATCAGCCTCACTTTAGCAGTCATCTGTGATGATAAACATACCGGCATCGTCGTCATCATCATGATCATCGATATCGATCGCATTGACATCGGCATCCATCACATCGACAACATTGTCGACGGGTGATGAGCAAGAACCAGATCGGTTTTTGTTTGAGCGAGTTCACCGCCCCCCTAAAAGTAGAGTTACAGCCTAAGAGGGCGGATAAACGTGGATGACGCAGGCTATTCACGACGAACGTTGTAAGCGTTGTCGACGTATGCACCGAGTTGTTGATGGTGAATCCCGCCATTGGCAAGAACTCATTCTAACTCGCAAACGGGTGGACGTGCCCTCGAAGTATCTCTTTGAGGACGCGGTTGACGCGTTACGTCTGACCATCTTTTTCTGGATGGTCTGAAGTCGACATTTATAAATGTGTTCCAAGTGAACGTAACACGGATTGTCAGAACTCTGACGTAAAGCGGGGGTCTCCATCAGACACGAGCTCACGGGGTAAATCGTGAAGTCGGAAGATAGTATCGATGAAGACACGCGCACAGCCCTGGGCTGTGATTGACTTTGGTACAGCAACAAGATGTACAATCTTGCTAAATTGATCAACAAACACAAGAATACCAGTATTCATGTGAACGTCTTTGGGATTCCGAAGACGAAGTCCATCGATGCGGACTGCCAACACGTAGTCGGACTCGGTAGAGGCTGCAAGGGTGCGCGGGATGAAGGACTAGGCTTCACCCGTTGACAAACTTCGCAAGCGCGAATGTATTTGCGCACAAACTCATACTGGCGGGGCCAGTAGAAATCACGACCCACCATGAGGTAAGTCTTTTCTTTACCGCGATGCCCACTTGTTGGGGGAATCGTGACACTCATACATGATGCGCAATCGCACATCATAATGAGCCGGAACGACGACACGAGGTGTGTCGCCGTTGACTGCTGTATAGTACAGCAGTCCATCACGAACAAAAATACCCGTCGGTTGAAGAGCGGTATTAAGACGACAAGCTTTTCAAAGCTTAATTACACGGATTGGATATGTAATCCATCAATCGCAGAAGAGACTCATCTTCCGCGTATGCTTTTCGCACATCGTCGACCAGATTCGACGACGGAACACTCTCTGTTAGTGACGCTACCATGGGATCACCCCTACTGTTGGGTTGAGCAGACGGCTCGAAATCGGGCCGACGCGAAAGAGCACCAGCGACGATATTTAGTCGTCCTAGTTTGTACTAGACGGAGAAGTTGTACTCCGCGAAAAAGACAGTCACCTTGCCATTCGTTGCGAGAGGTGTAGACTGTTTACGGCCGTGCGTAACGACGCGTGGTCGGTATAAACGATGAAGGGCCTATCTCGTAAGAGATATACCCGAAACTTAGCCAGTGCATATTGCATGGCAAGGAGTTCTTTGTCATGCACCGGGTAATTACGCCCGGCTTCTTGCAGCTGACGCGATTGATAACAGACGACGCGCTCAAAGTCGTCTGAGTCGTACTGCATTAGCGCACAGCCGATCGCAAATCGCTGGCGTCACAGACCACGTGGAATGGTCTGTCCTGGTCTGCAATCGCCAACACAGGCAATTGTATCAAGCTTTTCTTGATGCCTTCAAATGAGTGCTGACACTCAGCGCCCCATGACCACCTCTCGTTTTTCTTTAGCAGACAAGAGCGATGTACGGTCATCTTGGCGTAGTTGCGCGAGTACTTGTGCAAGTACGCCGCCAAGCCAAGGAACTTTCAAAGTCCCTTGACGTCGACTGGCATGGGCCAGTCGCTAAAAGCCTTGATCTTTTACGGATCAGGGCGCAAACCGTTTTTACCCACGATGCAGCCAAGAAGTGGTATTTCGTTCGCTGCGAATATACACTTATTGAGGTTTGCGAAAAACTTGAGCTCACGCATAAGTGTAAGAACCCTTCGGACTTGGATTCTATGAACCTCCACGTCCGTCTTTCCATCCATAGTCCGGCTATGTACAAAGACATCGTCAAAGTAACTCGGTGCGAAATCGCGCACCGATCGCAACAGGTTCGTAACACATCTGCTGAACGTTGCAGGGGCGTTACTCAGCCCCTGTGGCATCACTAGCCACTCCCAGAGCACACCA